AAATATATTTTTGTGTTATTAAGCCTGAGTGGTCTGTTGACTGACTGTTGTATTTGTTCAAATTATTGTTATGGGCAAAATATTTGTCATAATCATGCCTTGTGATTATTTGACAGGAGTTTTACTTTRAAACTGTAAGTGTATTTAATTTAGTTATAATGCAAATACAATACAAATTAAACTAAGATTAAGAATAATTCTCATTTTGATCCGTATGTAATGTCTGACTGGGCCCCCTGCCACTTTGTTGAACAAATTGGGCCCCGAGGTCAAAAAGGTTAAGAACCCCTGACCTAGTGGGTATTTATGCTCTCTCTCACTATGGTTGTGGAAAATCAGCACCCCTGCACCTACTGACCCCTTCAGGAGGGATCCGTCTGTAAAACAGTAGAAATGATTGGGAGACATGTCCGTCGTGGAGAGGTTACTCCAGACAGACATGTCTTCTATCTCTGTCTTAAAACTTGGCTCAAAATTTTATTTTTGACCATTCTGTCTCCAGGTCCTGCATTTACTGCAACAACAGCAACTGCCCAGTCCCAGATTTTATTGTGCTGTGAGTCAGATAGGCTTTTCACTGGCGTAGCCTTACTGCACTGGATGCAGCCTCACCTAAGATATGTAAATCTAGTGGAGCCAGGTCCAGTAGGACATGGAACCTGTGATGCTCAGGCAGGCCATTCGTTGCACATGGGTGAGCATCACTCTCCACCCCAACTTGAACTCGAACCCACCACAATGAAAGCAGCATAGCATAGCATGGGGCAGACTGTGGCCATGTAGATCCATCTGATAAGCTTGGGAGTAGCACCCCAATGACTACCTGCAATTCTTCGGCACTGGTGTAGGCACATTGCTGCCTTCTTACATATTTCATTTACGTGTCTTTTCCAGTTAAGCTTCCTGTCTAGATAAGACACCCAAGGATTTAACTGGCTCTGACAGGGAGAGTTCTACACTCTCCAAATTTATTAAATGTGTATTGATACATGCAAAATTCACAAAAAAATCAAACATAATCAGATGTACAGGAGGTGAACTATTTATGTTCTTCAGTCCTGAATGATCATTTTTGTTAATAATTTAAGTGTAGTTGCTAATATAATGTAAATTGTGGCAACTTAAAAAATTAACTAAAATTTTTGGAGTTCTTTGGATCTTTTCCAGATACAACTTTAGAACATATTTTTTTACAATAGTACCAATAAAATCAAAGTGCTGCCAAGAACATTTATTTCCTGCTATTTAGTCATCAAAACAAAAATTTGTAAATAAAATAAAGCTGGAAATTTGACAAGTTAAAGATTTGTCAGACATAATGGGATATGAGTTGAACATAAAGATTTTATGGCAAAACAAATATTAATCAAATAGTCTTAAAACTAAGCCAGCTTTACAAGGTGCAAAAAGTCTAAAATATGGAAATATTTTACAGCATTTCTATCGTAAAATCTTGAACTTGTCATTTAAATATAACAGTTGAAATTCTGGTGTAATCTGAAAAGACCAAAACTAACAACAAATCTATTTAAAGGAGACCAATTATGGGTCCTAGAAATGTTTATGGTATGTCTGTGGGCTATCCAGACCATGTTCATTCAATTTAATGCACAAAATAATTCTCAGATAATAAAATTTCCCATTTTCTAGTTCTGCCTGCTCTGACGTCCGTTCAGAAGAGCTGTTTATGTTAATGAGCTCTTTACGGCAAAGGCTGGTTCACCCCAAACATCCGGTGCCCCGGCACAAACAGAGCAATGTTGTATATGCTGTTAAG